TCTCTCTTCCTTTCACTTCCCCTCTATTTCTCTTTACTACTGCCCCCTCCCTCGCGCACTACTCTCTCTCTCTCTCTCTTTCTCTCTCTCTCTCTCTCTCTCTCTCTCTCTCTCTCTCTCTCCCCACATACATACTTTCCCTCGCACTTTCTATTCATTCCAACTATCTAGATGAAGATACCACACCCCCCACCCCCACTCCATAAAACCAGAGCAGGATTGAGAGAGTGAAAGAGTGAATGGTTGGGATTTCGGATGGCCTCCGCGGAAGGAAGGAAGCCCACGTCACACAGCAGAGAGACGCAGTAGACGGTGAACAGTGAACAGGGATTGCCCCCTCTCCTCCTTTACCCCACTACAAAACTCAACCCGCGCAAATCCGCCCAGCCCACGTCTGCCGACTGTCTTCTTGTTGCCTTATCATCGCGAGACAGTTTGTCGGAACTTTAAACGAACTCTGCGTAGCGTAGTGGCGGTGGAAGATCGGATCTTGGCCTCGCTGCGGTTTCGTTAAGTCGAGTAGCAGTAGATTTCGAGTTGTAGTCGAGCAGACGAGCAGCTTTCTTTTCACCGCTCGCACCTTTGGCCACCGCCGCCTCTCCGTTCGCGCGGCTGACTTACCGACTGAAATAACGCAGGAGGAAAGAAGTGATGATATGCAGTGCCTTTGCCCTTTAGGCTGTATCGAAGTCGAAGAGACGATCGAGAGGCTAGTTTATTAATCACCGGGCATCGGCCGCCTCACCACCATGCTTTCTTTCTCAACAACTAGATCTACTCCAGACATTCATTGTTGGTATGATTCAGATGAACAAGACTTGAGAGAGTGAGAGAGTGAGTGTGTAACTAGAGGATTCTTCTGGCCCACTCATCTTGTCAACCAGAGTGCGCGGGATCTACATTCTAGCTAGATCTAGATCTAGATTTATCTAGTTTCTAGAAGCTAGCGCTTCAAGTGAACAGTTTCTCATTGACCACGTAGAGATTATCTTCTATGTGTTTGTACGCGCGTGTGTGTGCGTGCTTGTGTGTGTAGCAGTTTAACAGTTTCTTTCACGACGTGTCGTGTCGGCGGATAGCTACTTCTCGGATGACTATTTTTCTCCTCATATACTCGGCTGTGTAGACAGACCCCCGCTCTCAAATCTGGGTTTCAATTTAAGCAGCGGCAGTTGCAACATCTGGCCAAAGTACCCCCCTACGTTTCCAGGTAAGAGATTTCCTCTTTGTGAGAATGAATCCCCCTGTACGGCTTGGGACAAACCAGCGGTTCTGGTCTTTTTGAAATTGTGACTTGCCTTTCTTATAATCACCCCTCTTCCTGCCTCTCCACCTTTTCTCTCTCACCCCTCCCCCCCCCTCTCTCTCTCTCTCTCTTTCCCTTTTCTTCTCACTCTCTCATTCTTTGTCGTTCTTTCCCCATGAAAATACACATGCTAGTACTCTCACACTCACTCACACTATCCATAATTATCAGTCTATTATATCTGTCTTTCGATCTCTTCTCCCTCTCTTCTTCTGTTTGAGAGAGAGGGAGAGATAGAGAGAGATATATATAGATAGATAGATAGATAGAGAGAGAGAGATAGATAGTTAAGATAGATAGATAGAGAGAGAGAGAAAGAGAGAGAGAGAGAGAGAGAGAGAGAGAGAGAGAGAGAGAGAGAGAGAGAGAGAGAGAGAGAGAGGATAAAAAAAGAAGTCCGCTTTACAATCTGATTACTTCGTCTTTCCCTTTTTATTTTGATGAACTCACTTAAAGGCTGGTTAGTCTCCTCTTCGGGTCTCCTTCCCCCATTCTCTCCCTCTCCCTCCCCCTCCCCTTTCTCTCTTCATCTGTCTATCTCTGTCGTCTGTCTCCCCCCTCCCTCTCCCCCGTGCACTATTTTATGATGATGACCGTGGCGACCACCAGGAAGGAGAAGAAAAAAAAATCAGGGATGGGAGGATGGTAGGTATGAGGTGACGTACTAATTGTGGAGTGTGGACGGGGTAATGAGGGGAGGGTTGGGGTGGGGGGTATATAAGATGATCAAGCTGTGCGGGCGGGTGGGGGCGGGTGG